TTTTTTTTTTTTTTCTTCTTCTTCTTCTTCTTCTTCTTGTGGTTGTTGTTGTTGTTGTTCTTGTTAGTGTTGTGCACGTCGACATCGTGGAGCACGACTATGGCACCCAGGTGTTTGTGGTCTTGGTTGTTGTTGTGGTCGTTGTTGTGCAATGATGCAATTGAAGGTCATATAGTTTTCTTCTTCTTCTTCTTCTTCTTCCTCTTCCTCTTTTTCGTCTTCTTCTTCTTCTTCTTCTTCTTCTTCTTCTTCTTCTTCTTGTGGTTGTTGCTATTGTTGTTCTTGTTGGCGTTGTGCACGTCGACAGTGTGGAGCACAGCTATGGCGCCCAGGTGGTTGTAGTCCTGGTTGCTGTTGTGGTTGTTGTTGAGCAGGTATGCAACTGCAGGTCATATAGCTTTCTTTTTCTTCTTCTTCTTCTTCTTCTTTTTCTTCTTCTTCTTGTGGTTGTTGCTGTTGATGTTCTTTTATTTGTTTAGGAAGAATCATTTTTGGTTTACCAAACACTTTTACGTTTTCTACTCCAAAATTGAATTCGACCTGCACAACACCAACAAGAACAACAACGGCAACAACCACAACAACAACCAGAACCAGAACCAGAACCCGAACCACAAGAAGAAGAAGAAGAAGAAGAAGAAGAAGAAGAAGAAAAAGAAGAAGAAGAAGAAGAAGAAGAAGAAGAAAAGAAGAAGAAGAAGAAGAAGGGCGGAGGCCATACGTGTGTCACTTACTTGGGCGCCATAGCCGTGATCCACGCTGTACTTGCACAACAACAACCACAACAACAACCAGGACCAGAACCACCTGGGCGCCATAGCCGTGCTGCACGCTGTTGACGTGCACAACACCAACAAGAACAACAACAGCAACAACCACAAGAAGAAGACAAAGAAGAAGAAGAAGAAGAAGAAGAAGAAGAAGAAGAAGACGAAGTAGAAGAAGAAGAAGAACGAGAAAGCTATAAGTCCTGCAATTGCATATCCTTTTTATTTGTTTAGGTAGAATCATTTTTGGTTCACCAAACACTTTTGACCTGCACAGCAACAACCACAACAACAATCAGGACCATAACCACCTGAGAGCCATATAACTTTCTTCTTCTTCTACTTCTTTTTCTTCTCTTCTTCTTCTTCTTGTGGTTGGTTCATTCATTGTTCTTTTTGATGTTGTGCACGTCGAAAGCGTGGAGCACGGCTATGGCGCCCACGTGGTTGTGGTCCTGGTTGTTGTTGTGGTTGTTTTTGTGCAGGTCGACAACGTGTATCACGGCCATCGCGCCCAGGTAAGTGACGGAGGTATGGCCTCCGCCCCTCTTCTTCTTCTTCTTCTTCTTCTTCTTCTTCTTCTTCTTCTTGCGGTTCAGGTTCTGGATGTTGTTGTGGTTGTGCTGTTGTTGTTCTTGTTGGTGTTGTGCAGGTCGAATTCATTTTTGGAGTAGAAGTGTAGAACTGTTTAGTGAACCAAAAATGATTCTGTGTGAACAAATAAAAAGGATATGCAATTGCAGGTCACATAGCTTTCTTCTTCTTCTTCTTCTTCTTCTTCTTGTGGTTGTTGCTGTTGTTGTTCTTGTTGGTGTTGTACACGTCGACAGAGTGGAGCACGACTATGGCGCCCAGGTGGTTGTGGTCCTAGTTGTTGTTGTGGTTGTTGCTGTGCAGGTCAAAAGTGTTTGGTTAACCAAGAATAATTCTACGTAAACAAATAAAAAGGATAAGCAATTGCAGGTCATATACTTCTTCTTCTTCTTCTTCTTCTTCTTTTTCTTTTTCTTTTTCTTCTTCTTCTTCTTGTGGTTTTTGCTGTTGTTGGTGAACCAAAAATGATTCTGCCTAAACAAATTAAATGGATATGCAATTGCAGGTCATATAGCTTTCTTCTTCTTCTTCTTCTTCTTCTTCTTCTTCTTCTTCTTCTTCTTCCTGTGGTTGTTGTTGTTGTTGTTCTTGTTGGTGTTGTGCACGTCGACAGCGTGGAGCACGACTATCGCGCCCAGGTGGTTGTGGTCCTGGTTGTTGTTGTGCAGGTATGCAATTGCAGGTCATATAACTTTCTTCTTTTTCTTCTTTTTCTTCTTCTTCTTCCTTTTCTTCTTCTTCTTCTTCTTCTTCTTCTTTGTTGTTCTTGTTCGTGTTGTGCACATCGATAGAGTGGAGCACGGCTATTGCGCCCAGGTGGTTGTGGTCCTGGTTGTTCTTAAGGTCGTTGCTGTGCAGGTCAAAAGTGTTTGGTGAATAAAAAATGATTCTGCCTACAAAAATAAAAAGCATATGCAATTGCAGGTCATAAAGCTTTCTTCTTCTTCTTCTTCTTCTTCTTCTTCTTCTTCTTCTTGCGGTTGTTGCGGTTGTTGTTCTTGTTAATGCTGTGCACGTTGACAACTTGGAGCACGGCTATGGCGCCCAGGTGGATGTGGTCCTGGTTGTTGTTGTGGTTGTTGTTGTGCACGTATCCAATTGCAGGTCATATAGCTTTCTTCTTCTTCTTCTTCTTCTTCTTCTTCTTCTTCTTCTTCTTCGTCTTCGTCCCTTAATTTTTTTCTTTTCTTCTTCTTCTTCTTCTTCTTCTTGTGGTTGTTGTTGTTGTTCTTCTTGTTAGTGTTGTGCACGTCGACAGCGTGGAGCACGGCTATGGCGCCCAGGTCTTTGTGGTCTTGGTTGTTGTTGTGGTCGTTGTTGTGCAGGTATGCAATTGAAGGTCATATAGTTTTTTTCTTCTTCTTCTTCTTCTTCTTCTTCTTCCTCTTTTTCGTCTTCTTCTTCTTCTTCTTCTTCTTCTTGTTCTTTTTTGTCTTTTTCTTTTTCTTCTTCTATTTCTTCTTCTTCTTGTGGTTGTTGCTATTGTTGTTCTTGTTGGCGTTGTGCACGTCGACAGCGTGGAGCACGGCTATGGCGCCCAGGTGGTTGTAGTCCTGGTTGCTGTTGTGGTTGTTGTTGTGCAGGTATGGAATTGCAGGTCATATAACTTTCTTCTTCTTCTTCTTCTTCTTCTTCTTCTTCTTCTTCTTTTTCTTCTTCTTCTTGTGGTTGTTGCTGTTGATGTTCTTTTATTTGTTTAGGCAGAATCATTTTTGGTTCACCAAACACTTTTACGTTTTCTACTCCAAAATTGAATTGACCTGCACAACACCAACAAGAACAACAACGGCAACAACCACAACAACAACCAGAACCAGAACCCGAACCACAAGAAGAAGAAGAAGAAGACGAAGAAGACGAAGAAGAAGAAGAAGAAGAAGAAGAAGAAAAGAAGAAGAAGAAGAAGAAGGGCGGAGGCCATACGTGTGTCACTTACTTGGGCGCCATAGCCGTGATCCACGCTGTACTTGCACAACAACAACCAGGATCAGAACCACCTGGGCGCCATAGCCGTGCTGCACGCTGTTGACGTGCACAACACCAACAAGAACAACAACAGCAACAACCACAAGAAGAAGAAGAAGAAGAAGAAAAAAAAGAAGAAGAAGAAGAAGAAGAAGAAGAAAGCTATATGTCCTGCAAATGCATATCCTTTTTATTTGTTTAGGTAGAATCATTTTTGGTTCACCAAACACTTTTGACCTGCACAGCAACAACCACATCATCAATCAGGACCACAACCACCTGAGAGCCATATAGCTTTCTTCTTCTTCTACTTCTTTTTCTTCTCTTCTTCTTCTTCTTCTTGTGGTTGTTGCAATTGTTGTTCTTTTCGATGCTGTGCACGTCGAAAGCGTGGAGCACGGCTATGGCGCCCACGTGGTTGTGGTCCTGGTTGTTGTTGTGGTTGTTTTTGTGCAGGTCGACAACGTGGATCACGGCTATCGCGCCCAGGTAAGTGACGCAGGTATGGCCTCCGCCCCTCTTCTTCTTCTTCTTCTTCTTCTTCTTCGTCTTCTTCTTCTTCTTGCGGTTCAGGTTCTGGATGTTGTTGTGGCTGTGCTATTGTTGTTCTTGTTGGTGTTGTGCAGGTCAAATTCATTTTTGGATTGGAAGTGTAGAACTTTTTGGTGAACCAAAAATGATTATGTGTGAACAAATAAAAAGGATATGCAATTGCAGGTCATATAACTTTCTTCTTCTTCTTCTTCTTGTGGTTGTTGCTGTTGTTGTTCTTGTTGGTGTTGTACACGTCGACAGAGTGGAGCACAACTATGGCGCCCAGGTGGTTGTGGTCCTGGTTGTTGTTGTGGTTGTTGCTGTGCAGGTCAAAAGTGTTTGGTGAACCAAGAATAATTCTACGTAAACAAATAAAAAGGATAAGCAATTGCAGGTCATATACTTCTTCTTCTTCTTCTTCTTCTTCTTTTTCTTTGTTCTTCTTCTTCTTCTTCTTCTTGTGGTTTTTGCTGTTGTAGGTGAACCAAAAATGATTCTGCCTAAACAAATTAAATGGATATGCAATTGCAGGTCAGATAGCTTTCTTCTTCTTCTTTTTCTTTTTCTTTTTCTTCTTTTTCTTCTTCTTCTTCTTCTTCTTCTTCTTCTTCCTGTGGTTGTTGTTGTTGTTGTTCTTATTGGTGTTGTGCACGTCGACAGCGTGGAGCACGGCTATGGCGCCCTGGTGGTTGTGGTCCTGGTTGTTGTTGTGCAGGTATGCAATTGCAGGTCATATAGCTTTCTTCTTCTTCTTCTTTTTCTTCTTCTTCTTCCTTTTCTTCTTCTTCTTCTTTTTCTTCTACTTCTTCTTCTTCTTCTTGTGGTTGTTGCTGTTGCTGTTGTTGTTCTTGTTCTTGTTGGTGTTGTGCACGTGGACAGAGTGGAGCACGGCTATGGCGCCCAGGTGGTTGTGGTCCTGGTTGTTGTTGTGGTTGTTGCTGTGCAGGTCAAAAGTGTTTGGTGAACCAAAAATGATTATGCCTAAACAAATAAAAAGGATATTCAATTGCAGGTCATATACCTTTCTTCTTCTTCTTCTTCTTCTTCTTCTTCTTCTTCTGGTTGTTGCTGTTGTTGTTCTTGTTGGTGTTGTGCACGTCGACAGCGTGGAGCACGGCTATCGCACGGAGGTGGTTGTGGTCCTGGTTGTTGTTGTGGTCGACAGCGTGGATCTCGGATATCGCGCCCAGGTAAGTGACGCTGGTTTGGCCTCCGCCCTCTTCTTCTTCTTCGTCTTCTTCTTCTTCTTCTTCTTCTTCTTCATGTGTTTTTGGTTCTGGTTGTTGTTGTGGTTGTTGCTGTTGTTGTTCTTGCTGGTATTGTGCAGGTCCAATTCAATTTTGGAGTAGAAAATGAAGAAGTGTTCGTGTTGTGCAGGTCGACAGCGTGGAGCACGACTATGGCGCCCAGGTGGTTGTGGTTCTGGTTGTTGTTGTGGTTGTTGTTGTTGTTGTTGCTGTTGTTGTTGCTGTTGTTGTTGTTGTTGTGCAAGTCGACAGCGTGGATCATGGCTATGGTGCCAAGGTCAGGGACGCAGGTATGGTCTCCGCCCCTCTTCTTCTTCTTCTTCTTCTTCTTCTTCTTCTTTGGTTGAGTAGAAGCACCCACCGCTGGATCTGTTATTTTAGTGGGAATTCTCTTAAAATTGGAGTAGAATTCTCTTGTGTTTTTTTAAGATTTTCTGGAGATGAATTCAATTTTGGATTATAAAATGCAAAAGTGTTTGGTTAATAAAAAATGATTCTGCCTAAACAAATAAAAAGGATATGCAATTGCAGGTCATATAGATTCCTTCTTCTTCTTCTTCTTTTTATTCTTATTCTTCTGCTTGTTCTTCTTTTTCTTTTTCTTTTTCTTTTTCTTTTTTTTCTTCTTCTTCTTCTTCTTCTTTTGGTTGTGTAGAAGCACCCACCGCTTGATCTGTTCTCTTAGCGGGAATTCTCTTAAAATTAGGAACTTGTGGTTTTTTAAGATTTCCTGGAGATGAATTCAATTTTGGAGTAGAAAATATAGAAGTGTTTGGTGAACCAAAAATGATTCGGCCTAAACAAATAAACAGGATATGCAATTGCACGTCATATAGCCTCCTTCTTCTTCTTCTTTTTCTTCTTCTTTTTCTCCTACTTCTTTTTCTACCTTCTTCTTCTTCTTCTTCTGCTTCTTCTTCTGTTTCTCCTTCTCCTTTTTCTTCCTTTTTCTTCCTTCTTCTTCCTTCTTCTTCTTCTTCTTCTTGTGGTTGTTGCTGTTGTTGTTCTTGTTGGTGTTGTGCACGTCGACAGCGTGGATTACGGCTATCGCACGGAGGTGGTGGTGGTCCTGGTTGTTGTTGTGGTCGACAATGTGGATCACGGCTATGGCGCCCAGGTAAGTGACGCAGGTATGGCCTCTGCCCCTCTTCTTCTTCTTCTTCTTCTTCTTCTTGTGGTTGTGTAGAAGCACCCACCGCTGGATCTATTATCTTAGCGGGAATTCTCTTAAAACCGGGAACTTGTGTTTTTTTAAGATTTTCTGGAGATGAATTCAATTCTGGAGTAGAAAATGTAGAAGTGTTTGGTGAACCAAAAATGATTCTGCCTAAACAAATAAAAAGGATATGCAATTGCAGGTCATATAGCCTCCTTCTTCTTCTTCTTCTTCTTCTTCTTCTTCTTGTGGTTGTGTAGAAGCATCCACCGCTGGATCTGTTATCTTAGCGGGAATTCTCTTAAAATTGGGAACTTGTGGTTTTTTAAGATTTTCTGGAGATGAATTCAATT